GGTATCGCTTCCTCTGGAATATGACCCGGAGGCAAGGATATATATACCTATGACAAACAGTTAGTGAACTTGGGAAAATTCTCAAACACTTAGTCATATTTTGTCATAGGATATCCTGATTTAAAGCATGCTCGAAAGGCAGCAAACCGAATAGAAGTTAGAGAAATCTTACAACAAGGAGCGATCACACAAGGCACTCCTTCAAAGCTGAAGGGTCTTCGACGGCAGCAGCAGGCAAATCAGGCTCCGGGTCCTTCGCGGCATCACCACCCCTCGTGGTGATAAGACTCTTCGGAGAATCAGCTGGAAGCGCCAGCTTCTCTCCCTCGTCTTCCTCAGATTACTTCCCCTGCTCAATCGGTATCGGCGAGGGTAGCTTCCCAGCAAGGTCCGACTCCTCTTGCTACTTTAACGGCTCTCCTGTCCTAACAAGGAGAGGGGATGGAGACTCTTCTACCCTGTCATTCTCCTCCTCTCTCTCGGAAGAAGAATCAGAAACCTCGACAGACTTCGCTGAGTCAACGTCCTTCAGATGACCTTCACGAACCGTGATATCATTCTTCTCAATAGTCTCTTCACCAAGGTCTGGACCTGACTCCTTACAAGACGGAGCCGCGTCGACTGGATTCTCACGCGACTTACCTGTCGACTCGCCCCGAGGACATCGCAGGGCGTCCGGAGCTGCGAGGCCGTTTCCGACCTAACTAGATCATCGTTTGACCCATACGGGTCAGGCGTAGCCACAAACTCTTCATTCACGAACCTAGAAGGGAGAACAAGCGGGGAAAGACTTCTCCTCCTTGATCATCTCGAGACACTTCCTCGTCTCGGAAGCCTGCTCAAGCAAACTCTGCTCCCGTGAGAGAGACTACGCTGCTTAAGATAAGCCCGGACGCGATCGATGCAGCGGCTAAGCTTGTTGGTCATTGCCGCCTCAACACGCAGCATCTCGCGAGTGACCTCCTGGCTGCGCGAATCCCGCAGGCGTTTTTTCTCATTGATCAGTTTGCTGTCAAAGCCGGCACGATCCCAACACAAAACTTTGGGTCGGCAATAGCTCGGTAAACGTGTATTTTAGGCACAAGTTTAAATTGAACTTGCTTTTATTAGGCAGAGTTTACGGTTGATTCGCTTATTGTTAGTCGAGTTTACAAAAACTTTTCTTTGACTAGGCATGAGTTTACAGAAACTCTCTTTCTACTAGGCACGAGTTCTAAGTAAACTCGCCTTTGTCTCAGCATGAGTCTAGTAACTTCGTCTTACGCTAAGCACGAATTTAAAGCAAACTCGCCTTTTACCAGGCATAAGTTCAAAGTAAACTTGCCTAAATTGTCACAGGCATGAATGTGTCTAGTTCACTGCCTCCAATAAACCGACCAAGTATATCCTTTGAGACGAACCAAAATTCAACCGGAGTTAAATCGAGAAGCGGCTGAAACTAAACCGGAAAGCGGTTAGGAGAAGATAAAAGGATGCCTGCTAAACGTGCATCTTAATCGGTCGACTAGATCAGGCAACGTTCAAGTCGAGCTACTAGATTCGCTCATGGTGCCTGCTAAACGCGTATCTCAGTCGGTCAACCAGATCAAGTAAAGATCAAGTCGAGCTACTAGATTCACTCAAGGTGACCGCTAAACGCGCTCCAGAAG